CCCCGCCTCGAGGTGCGGAACAGCAGTGGGCAGAGAACCTCATCTACATTCTGCTGTGCCCTTAAGCTGTTCGACGAATCAGATTTGTTCCAAAAAAAATAAATAAAAAAAATCAGAGTTGTAATCACTTTCAGTGGTGCATAATGCCGTCGCGTGTTCGACGACATCGCTCTCTATGTGACATGTGCCTCCTCTCCGTTCCCTTAAAACTGCCCATATCGAGGTTGTCACCTACTTCCTATGTCCCGAATAGAACGCGGCTTCCTATGTCCCGAATATAACGCGGGGTCAATGTGTCTATATATATATATCTGACCAGAACATTGCCGTGCAAGCCGATACGGACACAAACGACCCTGCGCTTTAATCGAGGGAGAGAAGGTAATCATCAGGAGGAAAAATGTATACGATCAGATCCCTCGTTCAAGTGCACGCAGGTTGCTCGCCTTGATGGCTGCCTACCTTTTCGCCCCGGCCCGGGGCGTGGTGTGGTCCCACTAGCAAAGGGGATCGGATCGAATGCCTGAATCTGGACGAGTTTATGGAGATGTGCAGGAAATCGAGATTGAACTGCTTTTCTGCATCTGTGCTTAAAACACATCCAGATTCAGGAGCTCGATCCTATCCTTTTTGCTAGTGGGCCCTCGGCCCCGAGTAGAAGGAAGGGGAGAAAAAAGTGGGGGAAAGGAGAGGGGGGGAAGCGAAAGGAAAAAAACGGAGAAGGAAAGAAAAAAAAAAGAAAAAGGGAAAGAAAGTTAAAAAAAAGAAAGGAACAGAAAGGGGGAAAAAAAAAAGGAATAAAAAGCGGAAAAGGAAAAAAAAGGAAGAGAAAGGGGAAAAAAGGGAACGGCAAGGACCGGGATTGCACGTGCAGTGAACGCTCCGAGTACGCAAAAAAACTGGGGACGTCAACGTAAACAAATGGAGGTTCCTCCCCTCTGTGTGTTGTCATTTTTTTTTTTTTCTGTTTTTTTTGGGGGGGGAATTCTTCCCTTCTATATTCTTCTCGCGACTTCTTGCCTTTCACTACCTACCTACTCCTAAGGCTATCTATAGGGGACCCCTGCAAGCATAGCTACCTCTCACTGTGAAGGGGATATTGCATGTTGCCCCTTGCCCTAGTGGTTAAGGGTGTAGGGTTGGGGCCGCCAGTGGGGGTCTGGCTAACGCAAAGACCGAGACCTGCCAGTAGCTGCGCCTCCCTTT